CGATGGAAAACGAGTTAATGTCTCGCGGCAAGCTCTAAAGCGTTCCCATGCTTTATATCATTTACCACGGAACGAAGAGAATGACCACGAAGCACATAATGATGACACGATCGTTTAACGCGTTTAACAACATTAATTGCTCGCCTCTGTTGCGAATTTAGGAGCCGGGAGTTTCGAAGAGCAACACAAACTGGGAAATACAGCAGAATTTTTACGTATCTAAATATTTGATATTCTGTAAAACGATACGTAAAAATGGAAAATCAAATGTTATCGATAACTCTGAAAACGAAAACACTAATATCACAGATACACGCTAGATGCGTTGAAATCAGTAATTCAATGATTACAGGCATAAGCCTAAAATAGTTTAATGAAATAAACGATGTTGCAAAATACCAGAACTAAAAGCATAACAAGGGCATCGCCTAAATCCGCGAGGAACGACGGTCAAAATGATTCAACGAAATTCTAGACTCGTTCCAGACCGACATAGATCCACCCTCGCTTCTAACCGCACATAAACGGTAAGGATAACCTAGCATTTTATACACAAGATCTATGGAGGCTAAGCAATAACGTTTAGCGATAATTCTAGGGTAGCCTGACCACGAGGCCTCGGGCTTTACGGATGACTTATGCTTGCTGAAGTTATTTGAACTCGTCGATGTATCGAGTTGTGGCACCGTGAGTCCCCGACGTCTTTGTCAATGCGCTGTACAAATGTTAGCGCACAAGACGTACGGCGAATCCCGCGTTGTTATCTCGCGGGTGGTACAGAAGATCTTGTCTAGTGAAATAGAACGCGAGCCCGCTTCGTAATTTCAACGTAAAAAGCATACACACCGACCTTATTATCAGCTCGCGTGTAAACGTTATCGGGCCGTCGCCGAAAAGAAACACTGTGTCTCCCCTTCCATTTCCGTAGGTTCGATTGATCGACTCGTTCCGTAGACTGAAAAACGTGTATGTATTTCTATAGAAATTTGTATCAGAACGGAGACATTGCATCTCTCTCGAGATGTTTAATTAATCCTGAAACGAATCACTTCCCACGTATAATGAAATATTTCGAAACAACAAATACTTGATATATCGCTTCATTCGTTTGATGAATAGTTTATTTCCGGTGACCGTCACTAGTGATTCACGAGAATCAAACATCGTTCATCTATAATTTTGAATCCCTTTGAAAGCTCGATGGGATCTATAATTTACTCTACAAACTTACTTTCTAATCGCTCCTTCCTTATTCTTTCTTCTTCGACCTACTCCATTCACTTTCACCCATGGGGCATCGTTTAATTTCGATTTTCGAGATCCTTTGACGAAAGCGTATACGGTGACAACTGATTCCACGAGCATCTGTGAATAAAAGAACTGCAAGTGCTGGACGAGTAACGCCAGCGGGTGCTCACGCAATAAAGATAATTGCAGTTTGATCCAGGTAGCGTTAGCCGGGGGACGCAAAATACATCTAACGAAGACAATCTCTTTTTCGTTTGGAAAGGTTGATCAAACCGTTGCACGTACCAACAGACGGAAGCAGACAATCTGTTGGATGGAAGGAATCTGTTGATGGAAAGAAGAGTAGATCGGAGACGTTGGACGAAAATCGGAGAAAGATCGCGAAAGAGAGATGATAAGGGGGCGGAAGAATAACGATAATAGAAATACAGGGAAAACGAAAGAAAAATTTCGAGCGGAGGAGAATTGTGAGCGAAATAAGGAGAGGAAGATAGAGAAACCAGAGAAAGCATAGGTAGGGAAAGAAAGAATCCGTTGGGATCCCAAGCCTGCTGGCGTAATTCTGCTGGATGACAAGACGGGGGTTAGAGGACAGGTGCTACTGACGCCTTTGATCTCTTCCGCATTACACGCTGTAGAGTATCACGCTCAAAAAAGGGAATTATCAAAATATCCTGGCCGGTTGCGCCCGCTCCGCTAGAAAGAACAGCGATCGATACCCGCTTAGGGTCATATCAACCGTGACGTTCTCTTTGTTCTCCTCCTGTTCGTCGTTTCGAAATCGTTTCTCGGTATTCCTTTTGCATACTCCACCTGTATGCAGTGTAGCAATATACCTTGCCACCGTACCATGCAAGACAACATTACAAAATTGCGGAGAAACTCCAAGGATTTCGTCTTCATTTGCTCTTGGAGAAATGTTGCAAAGGATGTGTAGGTAATATCAAGCATCGAGATTAACAATATTATTCGATTGTGTTATTATGTTTTTTGAAGATTTAATTTTACGCGAAATTTGAATTATTGTAGAGACTTTTATATTTCTCAAACTGTGGTAGTAGGAAAGTATAATTTCATACAATTAACACTTTCTTATAATAGAGCTGTCGTAAAATATTCGAAGATAATAGAGCGAACAGAATGAAACAGTATTTTGGAATTTTTTGAAGATACTCGCGGTACTTCGAGATATCAAACAATTGAACTCGTTGAAATAGTACGTAAGTAGATATACATACATATCAAGAGTAAACAATTCTACTTATAGTACTGTTTGATATGACATTTATTTTATAACGTAGGTATTCTATATATACGGGATTTTTATTTTAATGATAACATTTTTCCGAAATTATATACCTAACTCGTTTCTTGCCCACATTTTACATTTCATTCCTACAAGCTATCATTTTCAGAAATAAATAATTCGAACGCATGATATCAAACACGAAGTCATTTATTCTCAATCATTCGGTCAAACTCTTATCGGGAAGGGAACATTCAAGGAAGCGAGGAACGCCGCAAGGACGCAGAAGAAGATTTACAGCTGGTCGCCAGGAAGGATAAGCGGAACTATTTATTGAATATCATTTATCATTGAGGAGATCTCGTATTTCTCAGAGTCGCACATCGAAACGGCCGAAAACACCGGCTATTAGGTGTAACGTCACGGCTATTGGTACGCGTATGTGGTAATTACGCCGGGGCCTGGAGTACGCGTAACGCAAGAAACAAATTATCGATACCTCGAGCGAAGATTCGCTGCCTCCGGTACCAAGCGTCTAGCGACGATAATCGACACATGTCGTTCCCGTGGCTGGCAGACAAAAACTAGGCGGCGAGATTCCCAATGGACTCCCGAAAGCTGTTGACGACAAATCGAGGGTTAAAATACTATCGGTAAATAGCAAGTGGAATGAGAACGGGGGTGAGGCCAAGGGAGACGCGTATCAGATGGCGCAGGGGGGATTATAACCCTAATTTCGGCTATCCGCGTGACACTCTACTTTAAATGAAGTAGCCTGGTCGCTCCCATGGCCGAGCAACAATCAATCCTCGTGCATAATAGGAACTCTTGTTATCGGATCGTTAAGAAATTCCTACGATCACTTCCTATACAAGGAAACTTGGCTGATTAAGGCGATAAGACAGATAAAAACGAGACTTTGTGAAATAGGAAATCGACGTTGAAACGTTGTCTTAATTGTTGCGTGATGCAAAGATTAGACAATAGGACTATTTGATTTCGATCTTTTTCATTTTTACGACTTGAACGGGATTTGAAGTTAATTAATGATAATAGATAGATGATAATCCAATAAAGAAGAAGGTAATCCAAATACGATCATTGTTTATTTCACTTCAGAATTCATTTGATTTCCGACTAATGCACAACTAACAAAAAGCATTTATTTTGGCATACTTTTACAAACTTCTAAACGATCAATAATTTAATAACATAAATAACTAAATACTAAACAAACAGTCGATTCATCGTAAGAATTCTTTACCTATTTTCATCAAACACGTACATTTTTCTCCCATTTTACATTGTACATGTAGGTACATCGGATCAATTGTATCAATAAATCTTTAAGTTGACATTTAATTAGATGATCTGCCGTTAATTCTTTGCAGATCCGATGTATAATTTTAATACAACATTGATAAGATTTAAACAATCATCGTGATTAGATTTAAATATGCAACTCGAAATTTGATTCCTTCTTTATTTTTAAAATCTGTTTAAACTTGCCTGATCATTGATTCAGAAATAATGGGTGAGCATACGCAAAACATAAAGAGATGAGGAATCGGTATCTGAGCACGCAATCGCTATTTCTGTGGCGGCTAATTCGCGCCACTTTCGTTAATCCGAGGTAATAACGCACCGTTGATTAGATAAAATCACCGTGACCGTGATCACGGCAACAGCGGTTAAAGTTATTTCCACCTCGGCCGAAAGTCCTCCATAAATCACGTTTCGCGGACGTCCAAAATTCTTCTGCAATCTCGCAAAGCGTTTTCAGAGGAACCGCGAGCCTGTCTAGTTGCAACCCTTCCCCCACGATGGCGCATTCCTTCGAAATGGCCCCCTTACACTGGATCACGAAAATTTTACCTCTGCTAGCACGCTCAGCTCTAGGCTAGAAATTATCGTAGTACGATAATTTTTCATAACATATTTTTCAATTAGTCATAAAATAGACTTCATAATATTAGAAATACTTACATAAAATACATTTAACGTTTGAACGATTCAAAGAACTGGATTGTAAACACTTCAACCAACTTACACTCGCACAACTACTTCCGCAAACATTATAATCAAGTAAAACGATTAATTGTTGGAAAAAAAGCAATATGGAAGATACTCCCTACGTCTCGATAACGTAATTTCCTCGTTACCAAAGAAGTTACTTCCTAGAATTCCAAACTTTGACTGTATATCGTGCTCTAGCGTAATCCGGCCAAAGGCGAACAACAGTTCCTTGCCTCGATCACGGTGCGGCGGTTCCTTCGGTGACCAAGCTGGACGACAGACACGCTCGATCGTGGGAGAAAAAATGGACAACGCGTCGGCGTTGCCGTGAAGTTTTTTCTTATGTACCTACTACTCACTGCATGCCATATAGCCCGGAAAGATAATTATAGTTTCTCGATCGACGTAAGAATTTCTGAGATTTCTGCCAGCTAGCCGCCTTCTACGTCGTAGAATAGTAGTAGAGTATCTTTATAAGCAACGAGTGTGGGTGAGCTGACCGCCCCTACCATGGTAAAAGGCAGTAGTGGAGGGAAAGGAGACGGAGGGGATGCTAAGGGCCAAAGTGAAGGCTTCGCCGGAGAAAGATTAGCAGACCAGCCAAGACTTTCGTGTTTCTCGGATCCACAGACCCGTAGATCATGATAATTGTGAGAACAATTCATCAGGTAAATTTCACGCTAAGCGGTCCCCGGATTCGTTGGCATGTACCGATCATCCACCGGCCGGTCCATTAATCACGATCTCCAATTGTCGGTCGGCTCACTCATCAACGCGATATGTGTGCGAGCTTTCGTCTTTTTTCTCGATCGAACGGATCGACCATGATACCCGTTTTTGCGCAACATTCCTCAATATCGTCATACAGAATGTAACAAAGCGCGTGTAAATGTGCGATGAATTATATCTATTTTACGATTCTGTTATCTTTTTTACGAAAATATCACAAAATCGCTTCAGATTCCCATTCTTTGGACGATTTATGCGAAAATGTTAAATATCGAGGCTCCAAACTTATACGTTTGTTACACGACCACAGCATTTTGCTTGCATAAGGGTTAAGAATTAATCAACATAGCAGAAGAAAGGAAGACGAATTAGTTGTTGCACATCAAATGGTCTGCAGACATTTAATATACTCAAATTATGATTTTTGAATTCCCGTAACCGTAAGACGTTATTCCCCAGTTGACGTCTTCTTCGCGTCTGTAAATGCTCAATTTGTCGGCACTTTCTACAGGTGTTCGTGGTTGAAATCACTTACCAGCCATAAACGGGAGAACAACCGAACGGATAATACGTGTTTGCACTAATAGTAGGTCCTTCGTAAACATAGGGTAGCTTCTATACGCTAGCAATTATTATCGTACTCCGTGTAAGTATGTTCAAATACGGTGTACGGGCGTTTATCAATGAAGTTGCTTCATCATCATCTCAAAATCACAGCTACGATAATGACTGTCGCGTTATCGTTGACAGCTAACACGGCAATGCTAATCACGAAACCCGTAATCCTAGCTTTGCAGATTTTTCAATGATTGTACATTATCGTCGTCGATCTTTTCGATTGGCGTTTTAAAAAATTTAAGCCTTTCGTTTGGAAACAGTCGAAGACTATCGAGAAAGTCAATGCATATTTATCGATCTTTTTATCTTTACAGACTTTTATAGACATCTATACTTAAAAGATTGTGGGTATCGTGTATAATTTTTCAAGCAAGAAATATAAAATTTCGCAATTTTATTTCTAAACAATCATTTTTTAATACGTTATCGAAAGTTACTCGTGACAGTTCTTTTCGATATCCAGATCATTCCTTGAAATAAATATTGGTTATAATTCTTAACGATTGAAGTAGGAAAGCAAAAGAAAAATAGCATTAATTTTTATCGACAAATGCGACAGTTTGATCTTATCATTTATTAATTAAGTAACTGTAACGTTATTCTTAAACAACTATTTCCATAATTACAATTTACAACAAGGAACAATCCGGGATTTGTTACGGTAGATACAATCTCACGGAATGAAAGAAAAATTTCCCATTCATCGTATTACGATCAATACCATGTTCAAAAGTTAAAACAATCATCACGTAAGACGCAAAAAATTGTTGTCGAAATTCCTTGATACAACCGTTAATCTTCTACCTCGACCTTTTGTAATTCTTCCGGCATTGTTACGACATTATAATAGCGCAAAAAGCCAGTCGAGACCAAAGGAAATCTTGAGACCTATTATAAGGAGAGAAAAAGGAAGCACCGCTTGTCGAAAGAAGAGTACAACGCCGATATCCTGATTCTGACGCGGTGCGAAACGACGCGTCGCGGTTCCTCCGGATCGTGGGAGAGGCGCGCGTGAAAATCGCGGCTGTCGGTTTGGTTCGGTCTAAATGTAACCCTAAAAGTTCGAGGCAACGGCCAAAAGAATGTATAATTACGAGACATAAAAATAACCATCGCCCACTCAAAAGTATTCGTTGCGGCTGGCCAGTGTGTAACGATGTGCTTTTGGTTTTGGGTCGTCGCACCCACAACTTGGAGATTCCCATCGATCTCTCGACACACCACCCGTTTCTCTCTGAACCAAAAGATGTTCGGCAATTTTTCGACAGTGATTACACCAGCAGCAAGCCTTGCCTGACCCGCGCTGTAAAAATCTTGCTTTTAAGTATAAGGCAGGCGAGTGGACAATGGAGAAAAAGTCGAAGAAACTCTCTCGCCACCGTCCATTCGTCCGTCCGTTTCGAGGAATTTGAGCGCGAATTGAGGGTGGAGAACAGGGATTTTACCGTCCAAGAGCCAGCAATCTTTGAAATCGTTTTCCTGCGTGACGCTCGCGGGCGTCTGTTACACCTTTTTTATGCGATAAAAGACTATACGCAAAGAAGGTAGTGGTCCCAGGATACATTTTCCTAGCGACGGTATCTTTCTTCGGAAAAGCACGGAAATTCAGATTCTCGTGGGAATTCGAGCCAGGGATGAAAATATTAAAAAGAAGGGAAAAAACGTATACGATTCATTGAAATAACGTCGTTATCGTCGGCTTCAGAGCGTGTTATTGAAGCCTATTAAAAATTATTTTATGAAAATATTGCGAATGTCTCATCGAACAGCAGAGTTATACCTACCATACTCTATAATCTGACGAACAAAGTTTCGAAATAGAAATATTAACATTCATATGACATATTGCGCATTCGACAAATATTGTGTTTTGAAAAATATTTACCTGATCCATACATCTTTACTTAAATCACCTACTAATCTAGCAATTTATTTCTACAGGAAAGCCAACTATCGAGTTTCTGACGCTGATGAGAACCGGAAACTCGTCGATCGAAACGGAGAGTAGGAAAATCGTCCGAATCACCATCTGTCATGGCGGATTGTTAACTCGGTTATAGCGCACGCATATCAAATCGTTCGTGACGTACCTTAGCACGAAATGGGCAGCGCAGTAATGCGATTTGGATATATGGAGAGTCCTCTGGGATATTACCAGTACAGAGCTTTCTCCCCTGCGATACGACAAATGATATGCATATGTAAATACGGTGACCGAGCATTACGAATCGGCCTAACGCCGGGAAATCTGATTTGCAAACCTTCCTACGAATATTCGAGCGCATACGCCTTTACTACTTGTGATTACTTTACATTTTCCAAAATCTTTTTCAATCTCGCGCAGTAAAATTTTCTTCTTAATGATACAAGCTGAAGCCAGTAAACGTTTAATTATAATATTCGACTACAATTCTATCCTTCTTATCTAAAATTGTACTCGCAATAAATAACACGATCAAAATATGTTTCTCTGTGTCAGCATATTTCTCAATTAGAACGTACTTACGCTAGTCTAAGTAATCCGCACCAGACGCGCTTCGTCGAGAAACGTCTGAAACGGAAAACTGCAGAGAAGAGAAAAACACGGGTTTCTCTGAATTGATCCAGTGACCTCGAAACAACACAACCAGAGAGAAAGGTCCAAGGGAGTTTGGTTTTATCTCACGGTCTTTCACTGTATCAGCGGCGCTCGGATGATCCCGTTAACAGGATCAAGACTCGTGGCATAGACGAAGGGTTCTTGTTATTCGCAATCGCCTTCTCTGGTCCTTAGGGACGCGAAATCCCCTCTGGATGCTCGGAAAATTACCAGGAACGCTAAGATATATTCATTTGCAGAATACACAATGAACGAAATTACTCACTGCCATCTTTCTCATTAACTTTTTCTTAATGAAATTAAATTGAAATTAAATTAAATAACCATCGACTTATTGAGCGTCGATCGAGACTTGCACTTTCTCGAGTCGCGTTTTCTTCAAGATCGTGTCCATGCTTTTCGAATACGATCTTGATGCAAAAATTATTCTTCGTTCGACTGTAATTCTATTATTCGACGAACATATTATGCAAAAGTGCACGAATTTAGATCTTGGTCGTTTCATACGCTAGTTAATATCTACAAACAGTAATCGAGAATTTTAAACACGACTGCATTACGATACCCAGAACAAACGTTATAATTAGTGAAGCGAAGCAAACGTCTTAGATACGACTCGTAATAATACGAGTACATATCTACCTGTAAGACATAGTGCAGACTTTCGACCCTCGTCCCAAAGTACCAACCCTTAGCCCTTGCCGTCGTACTAATGATTTGCAAACATCGACCCTCCGCTCGTTTCGCTCATTACAAAGTTTTTTCCCGGCGTGTTGCGCATGGACAAGATGAAAGTGTTCCAGGAGTTTGGAAAGAATAAGAAAATGAAATTGAACAATCTCGTTTAGTCTTTTGGTCTTGATCGTTACAATAGACCGTAAAATTGATCACCATAATTCATATTTAACTCCTTGTAAACATTACTATTACAATTTATTTCCCAAGTCTAACGTTCCAAATATCTTTCAATAAAAATCAAAATTTGGAGAGTAGAAGTTATCGAGAATAAAATTTCATTTCCTTATAAGCAATTAATCATATGTTTCGTTTAATAAAACGAATACAGCAAAATAATAATTGCAAATGTCGTAACACTGTTATTTGTACCTACGTCAAGAAATACTCGGAAATTATTGCAGAGATTTCTTTTTTATCAAGGAATGTCAATTAAATTTCTATTTTACGCCTCGCTCGAGTGCCTGTTAATATCTAAATTAAACAATGGATTGAGCACAAGAGGCAATAATTAAAAGATTAAAGATATCGATTGAAATTCGATCAATTGGCGTGTATTATCAATTGAAATTTCAACGTGATATCCATTAAAGAAGTAGTAACTTAACGGTATCGAGTTTATATCCGTTATCAGATTAATTGCTTCCTCTTTCTAATGAAAAGAACATATAAAAAAGCAAAAAACCGATAGTTGACGATATCGATACTATCTTGTCTTTATAATCAAAGCTACTGGGATTTCACGTATCTCGAACGTCATTCTCTCTGGTTGCGCTTATTTTCGTTCCTGATAAAAATCTAATATTTTGTTTATCCTTATCAACGCGATGTATGCCCTCGGAATGTATATAAAGTGATCGATACAGTTTCTGTGAATCACAGTATTGTGAATCTTCTTAGCAATATGTTCACTCTGAGTGCTTCATTTGTGCTCTGTCTTGCAGTCGCCGCATTTGGTAAGTAATAACAACCGAAAAAAAATCTTTCAAAGTCTTCATATGTGCCCAACATTGAATTTCTTTACATACTCTATATTATATACTAACTATATCTATATCTTAAATATAGCCTTCGCGCCTTAAACAAGTCAAAGTAATTAGTTAATTCAATTGTTACCAAATGTTTTGAGAATGGAAATAAAATTCGGTGGAAAGTGAATAAAAGTTTATGGAATTGAATGAAATTGTCTTAGGAAGTTTAAAGAATCGTTTTCTACTTTACTCGCTCAATGCAACTCTTTATTTCGATAATTTTAATTTTCTCAACTCGTTTAGCCGAGTACGCGGTACACAAACGATTACAGTGACTAAACCAAAGTAAGACTTTATGAGTGAAGCTATATGAAACCACGAATGCAGTAACCTTACTACGATTTTGTCTTGGTTAGGCTTCCCTGAAGGCCAAATTGTCGGTGGCAAAGACGCACCAGTTGGCAAGTTTCCCCACCAAGTGTCTCTGAGACAGAGCGGAAGCCACTTTTGTGGTGGCTCCATCATCGACTCACGTCACATTCTCACCGCAGCTCACTGTGTCCAAGGGTATGTACCATAAAATTTAGTGCACAAAGAATAGTAAAATTAAGAAGCTGTCAAACAAAGCAGATACACGGAAATCATATTTATTAAAATATATTTACAAAAGTATCATCGCTTGCTGTCATATATTTATTAATATCTTACTAAGCTTCAAGTTTATCACTGATTGCTGAATATTTTAAATCAATGGAACATGTTGGTCTTATAGACTAAACAACTTGAAAAGTATTACCGTCCACGCTGGAACGAATCAACTGAACACAAATGGACAGTCTTACGGAGTGGAAAAGGCCGTTGCGCATAAGGGTTTCAGCTCGAACACTCTTCTTAACGATATAGCTATAATTCGCGTGAACCAAAATATCGCGTTCAACAACTTGGTGAAATCAATCAAATTGGCAACCGGTAGCAACACTTATGAAGGATCAAACTGCATTTTGTCCGGCTGGGGAACTACCAAAGTAAGTTCGAAACATAGCCGTTTCAACAATTACTTGAAATTATAATAATTTCATAAATAATATAATATAATAATATAAATAATAATAATAATATAATAATTTAATAAATAAGAATGTCTTGTTAAGAAATTCGAAACTTTGGAATTTAGAATTCTCGTATTCGAAAGTATTCAGAGCTTAGTTATAAAAGTCATATTAAGTTTATTTTTCTATCGGAATGATACATTTAACATGTATTTCGTTTACAGCTCGGAGGAAGACCACCAAACAACTTGCAATACATCAACTTGCTCGTCGAGAGCCAATCAAAATGCAAGCAAGCCCACTGGAGAGTTCAAAGTTCCCACATCTGCACATACACCAAAGTTGGAGAAGGTGCATGCCACGTGAGTATATTTAACACACTTTGTATTTGAACGATGCATGCTTTTTCATCCAAATACGAATTTAAAAATTGAGATCGGTAATACTAGAATTTCTAAGACTTCTTTCGTTCGGTGAAATATCAACCTTATGAACATTTAATTGACGACTAATCTTTTCTTTTCGAATTTCAGGGTGACTCCGGCGGTCCACTCATCCACGATGATGTACAAATCGGTGTCGTTTCCTTTGGACAACCTTGTGCCGTTGGCAAACCTGATGTATACACGAGAGTGTCATCCTTCATACCCTGGATTAATTCTCAGAAATCTTATCTTATGAACGAAACTGAAGAACAACCGGAAGACGCCATCTACATTGCTTAAATTTACCCGTTTCTAATATTTCCACAATAAATTCTGAATTTTTATATTTTGATGATGGAGTATTCAGTTTTGAAAGGTATATGAACTTGAATGTAATCGTCACTTTTGTATACAGCAAAAAATGAAAATCATCATTTTGCAATAAAGCATGTACGCGTTAACTATCTCTTTTTCATCTCTATATATATATCCCTAGCTTTTTTGAAGAGCTGACCAATCAGACGAGCTATTTATATGATTTACAAGATTTTTATTCAAACGGAATATTTTATTTCTCATTATATGAGACTTCATGCCTCTTTATATCTCAGTTCGTCGGTAGTTACACGTGTCGAACTAGAAAAATCTCAGAGTGTTTCCTATGCCCTCTGTTGTTTTCTGCAGAAAATATAGGAATTCCATATATTCAACTCAATCGTCAAAAGCGATAAAAATGAACCTGGCATCTTATAAGGTATCGCGTCACATGTTCTGTAATACCGACCATTCAGAGGTTTTATTACGCCCTCTACCATTTATAACGTCACACGAGTATAGTTAAACCATTCGAACGCGCTTCGTTTATTTAAACAGAACTTTAATTAGTATACGTTTAAATAAGCTTCTGGTGAATTAACTTATTTAAACGCGAATTACTATTATATGAACGAGAAATCGTAAATAGTAAGAACATTTAGTACGCTCTTATCATGTGAACCTCAGTTACACGAGCTTGTCCCGTGACAGATTCTAATAAACGGAATTCTACCGTATGTTCAATTAAAGAATCATACACAACGATTGAAAGCAAAATACAAGCTATTGTGGTCATTCATAAAGGATTATAATTGTAGACGTATTATATTATAGACGTAACATGAAATACTTTCCGTGTTTCACGATTTAAAGGTTTATAGTATATAACTATAAAATCGTAAATTATTATTGTAAGGAAAATAAAGAATTCTACAACATGCATCTATACAAATTGAATTAACGATTGACTGGAACAATAATTTTGAATAAAAGGTACTATGCTCGTAAGTTTTCAAGGTTCTGACCACATAAATAATTTTATCTTATACACTGTATATAATCTATAATCTTATCTCTAACTAATAATGATGTGAAGATTATATTACTTTTATTCTGATTACTACGAATATTCAAAATCACTGCACCGCTCTTTTTTTTCTTAATCTGACTACACTTAAGCATAATAGATATAATGTTCTTCTTTAGTTAAATAAAACTACGTAAATAACTAAATTAATAATTCAACTAAAATAATACTTTAACATAATCATATATTAGAAAGTAAAATATACTACTCACGCATTGTTCGAGTTTATACTGAATGGATATTTTGGTAGTCCTCCTGGATACCAACTTAATTCCCTTTTCAACACCTTTTATTTCCCTTTAAGGTATTCATTTATGAAAATACTGCTAAACATTTATTTATTTCATTTTAATGAATATTTTTAATTTATAAATATTATTCACTACTTAAAGTTGTTATAAATTAATGGAATGAAAAATGTGGAAAATGAAGATTTTTTTATTATACAATTTCAAAATTTTGCAGGGGATTATTATACATTATTGGAAGGACAAATATTCTGATAAAATATTTTACACGGAAAATTTTTCACGGAATCAAAATATGAAAAATAAATAATAATTAAATAAATGATGCATTTCTGGTAGTAATAGTTCATTATCAGAATTATTTCTTTTTTTGTAATTGTTTCGTCTACAGTGTATTCAATTTATTAATAGTAAAAATTTTGTATGTAAAGTGTTCGGTAAATGAAATTCAAGATTCAATGAATCAAGATTTTATCAAACATGGTAAGACTTAAGCAATCATTATTATTTATTATATAATTCGTAATTATAGCGTAATACATCACAGTAATTATGAATTATATATCAAATAATATGAATTAATTAATTGCGATTGCGATTATGTTCTTATATACTAATTAAACAATCTATTAAATTGTTAATAAGACTATCATTGATTCCTAAATTGCGGATTATTTTTTTTTTTTTTGTTAATTAGTCTGTAATAAATCAATGCCTATTGAAATATGGAATTCTCTACTTCATTTGCGATTACAAGATGTAAATATATTTTATCGAGGCAATTGAGAAATAGGAAGTAACAAAATTACGTTCGAAAATTTAAATAATTTAAATAAATATTTTTTAATACGTTGTTTTTTAATTTAATTTAAATTATTGTGAAGAAATCTTAGTTCGTTATCTACGAATTACACTATTTAGCTAGAATCTTTACCACATACGAAAACGAATGAAGAGATATATACATTATATCTATTAGTTATGGTCATGCCTTGTTTGACCATTTTCAATTTCGATTACTTTTCTAGTCCATACTATTTTGTGAATGGTTGTATTTTCGGTTTAAAATTGCCGCATCTTGGGAAATTTTCTGGTGGTTTTGGCATATCAGAAACCTCTCCAACTTGTAAAGTAACTTCCATACCAGCAAGATGATGAAAAATTTGATGACAATGGAGCAGCCAATATCCTTAAGAATGAAATAAAATAAAATCGTTTAGTTATTGTGCATATAAAATCTTTAAAATCTCGATTTGTCAATATTCACGATTACCTGGATTATTTGCGCGGAATCTAATTATGGCATATCCGTTGTTTGGTACAGGAATGTCATCTTTTCCTTGTGGAGAAACGAAATTCCTTTTTATTTGATTTTTCTTTTCAAGTTCTTTGAAATATTCCAGTGTCATCTTATTCGTAGTATTCGAACTTGTAGTGGCACCCAAAGGTTGACCTAAGCCCATCACATAAAATATGTATCCATGCAAATGGAAGGGATGCCGTACAGATACCGTGTCAACTGTAAATTACAAGATAGTACATGTATATATTAATCACTTTATCAAATAAACATTTTGTAAAGTAATCTGTTAATTCCATATTTAGATAACATTTAACATACACTCGTCTATCAGGATTATTTCCACGATAGAATTCAATGGAATTTTAATCAAGTGAATACACGTGCACGGAGCTCCTGGACGGCAGTGGGCTGGTAAATTTTCGGCGTTACAAAATGCATCTGCAGGTGTGTCTTCCAACTGAGTGAGTGGCGGGGAGGATGGACCAGTTGAACTTATATTGTTTATCATCGTGGCTACTATCCATTTTGGTGATGGAACTATTAAGATTAAAAAAAAAAGAAAAGGACTAATCATATGTTCTTTCGAGAAACAAAAGAAAATAAAATAATCGGACAACTATATCCATATCTTACCCAGAAAGTTCTTATATGTGTTAGGTACGAACACCTCTTCCGGTTTATACCTCTGCATGGATATAGGTAGATACAATTTTACATCTGGTTCTTTTTTCAAAATATCTGGATCGACTTGCAAAGCGCTGTTTAATCCATTGCCACAGATATAGTTGAGCGTAGAATTGCAAGCGGAACTTGCGATATCTAGTACCTATGATTATAGTAACTAAAATTATATATTTCGTTAACAATATTATTGCTATATCTTACCACTACTAAAGCCACCATTAAAATAAATATATCTTTACCGATTCGGTAATTGAAAATTTTTACGATTCAGTTGATCAGCAATTCCATATAAAATACAAGAAGACTACTTACTAGGCCATTAGGAATAGGATTATCAAAAGTAGGTTCTTTTGTCTTTGGTGTAATAGATGCTCCTTCGTATTGTAATAAAGCTAATTGTTGGATACGGTTATAGGTGCAATCATCCAATCCACGCAGTTGTATCCAATAGGCACCAGGTGTTTGATTAGTATTAATGACAAAGTCGTATCGTTCTCCTGTGAAGTTTGTCCGAAAGGAAAATTAAATGAATAGAACGACAATTTTATTAATAATACTATTTTGCATTTTTATTAATATCGTACCAGCCAGAGAAACTATAGAATCAACAACGACAGGTTGCATAGGTTGACCATCGGAAGCAATAACGGTAAGACTATGGCCTTCGATAGTCAATTGTGCAGGGCAAACGGTACAGAAGGAGTTAATTAAACGAAAACGATAACGTTGATTAGCACCTACGGTGATTACTTCAAAGGGAATGTTTGACGTAGCGTGACTGAGATCCTGGGACGGACAAAATTAAGAAATTAAGTTAATATATGGTATTTAATACATAGCGTCTTTAAAATGTAAATACTTTGAAATCTATTGAGATATGTATAATTTTATGTGCTAGACTAGATTCGCTGTGTAGTAGTGATACTTGTATGTGAATATCAGTGTGTGGAAGTATGTATATGCAGGGCGTCTCGAAAACAAAGGAATGTAAACTGTTCAGTTAACAGTCTGGTGTGGAAGAAGGTGAGACGCGTGCAAGTGTGTATCAATGGATACCTTTGAAATCGTTTATCAAATAAATATATAACTATTCTAATATAAATTCTAAGTGTAAATTTAGTGTTCCTATAGCATTATTTCGGCTATTAAGATCCAAAATTTTCAACAAAATCATACATGATAAAAAGGTATATACTACTATACTGTATTAAGTAATCAAACTTTAGAAATATTTGAATATAAAAATACGACGATTTTATTTTAATTATTGGCTGAAATTTTCTATGATAAAATATTTTAAGTAAGAAAATCAAACTCACAATGTATCTTCCTTTTCCGTTAATTAAGAACGCATCGGCATTCTGATGAACTACGCCAGCTCTACGACCTGGAAATCGACCCGTAGCCTCTTCTTTAAACCAATCGCTAATAACGATTACGTGATTTGCTAGGTCAAAATCATACAAATTTTGATAGGGTTCATCTTGCGGTGGTGATCGTACGATGAAACTTCCAAATACACCATCCAATTTTTGCGTTGCTGTGTGAGCATGCCACAAATGAGATCCCCAGTTATTAGCAAAAAATTGATATCTAGCAAAAATATAACGTTCTAGTAAAAATTCTTTATTTCAAATTACTTGATACTCTTGTTTGATGAATGTTTTGTAGAATGTTCTATGTGATTTGCTATCCTCTACTAATACAAATAATACAGGTAATACAGATCTTCTTGCCTCGATTATTATTGCGACTATCATTATCATAATTAGAATAATCAAATGAAATTTTATCTCATAAGACTGTTCTAGGATGAAAATTCGTATTTTTGAAAGAGGTTCAATTTTAATTGAATTTCTGTATTATTTTTCTTCGAAGAAGATAAAGTAACTCGAGGAATGTAAAATTGAAGGCCACAGATGATAACATATCTAACATTTTCTGCTTTTTATAGAAGAGCAATTTTAAAATTCAATACATTACTAATTCTTGCCTTTGTCGTCCTTTTACATGTACTTTTTGTTTGTACTTCAAAAATATTAACAATATTTAGTATGCAAAATTATATGAATTAAATTAAATTAACATGAAAACTAATATTACTCGTTCTTCACAAAGCATCGTAGAGTTTTCATTTATTTCACGTTAAAATTTTAAACACACTTCGACTTATGTTTTCTTCGTGTGCTCTTTAAACCTTTGCTCTATATGCCTTCGGCATATTTTTCTAGCGATATTACCAACTAATCGACGCAATAAATATTTATAGTTTAAAAATTTTTTATTGTCACCGCTGTGGCGACATCCTTCTGCAAATTATTAAGTAATAGCAATATATCAAAATGATCGATCATGAAAGCTACGATGTAATGTATCACAATTAAATTTTCGCAATTTTAACATAATTTTCAAATTTTATTTTACCTAAATGTGTCATGAATCATGATCGGACACTGTGTCAAATGTGGGACCCCATCGTAATGCGCAGAACCATGTTGGAGGATACCATGCCAATGAACCGTAACTGAATCTGACTTTAACAGATTTTGAACATCAACTACGACGTAATCTCCTTTGCAAACTTGTATAGTTGGCCCTGGTATCATTCTATTCACAGTCAAAGCCATCCGCTGCGTTCCATCCCCGGGAACGCATTGACAGTTAGGGCATAAAGTGTTTGTAGCGTTAGGCATACAGAAATTACACGCCCTGAAAATGAAGAATTACTCCTTAAATTTTATTCTTTACTTTATAATTGATTGTTTCTAATTTACTTGTATCTTATTCCTCAATTTACTTTAAGTATTCCTTAAAATTTCTATCTAAATACTTTGATACTTTGATACTTTGATACCTTGATACTTTATCTTTGATACTTTGATACGGAGGTTAAACCTTCTGTCATGGAACTTTTTAAATCGCAAAATACTCACAGCAATAATATTGGAATAATTAAAGAATAAATGATCACAAATTTAATTATAAATACTACATAAGTAAATACCTAGTATTGATACTTCAAATTACGATGATAAGTTGTGAAAAAAATTTTAATAATTTCTAGACTTTTAAAAATCCAACATTTTTTACTTTTTAATTTGAAAGAAGTTTAACGAGTTTTCAATACTAATATTGCACTATTATACTCACTGGCCATTAACGGGATAACGTTCAATTACGAATTTATAGTAACACGTCTTTGATTCTCCTGGTCTACATGTTCGCGCACACTCGGCAGCATTTGACAAGGAATAATCCGCAAGAAGTTCGTCAGTTAAACAGTTATTTTCATTAACAAATCCCATTCCACTAACGCCGGGCGCGTAACCCGCAATAATAGATTGTGAGACTGCATTCTGAACTAGGACCGAAAGATTAGATCACACCTTTTTCAAATTATGTAGTACATAATTACATAAAAAATATAATTAAGCTCCACTACGAAAGAATACATTATCATGTATTATAAACACTATTCCATTTTTGTGACAGTTTTTGAACTATAATATTGTTAAAAAACTAACACACTACACATATGGAGTTGAAAGAATTCAATATTCAATAACACTAACGATAATGTAATGTAAATTTTGTTAGTTTCGGAAGCAAATAACGTAAAACAGTTCTAATATCTACCGGATGTATAATTGCTGCTTGCGTGTTATTGAACGATAATGAATTATTTCAAAAGAAGAGAGATTCCTACCGGTAAGAATAAGAACAAAGAGCAAAGAAGTTCCCCGCAAAAGATTCATTATGAGATCGTAATTCTTACGCACTGGACTGTGAAATTATGAGTTTATATAATATCAGTATTTAAACCTTTCTCTCAATGAAATTTGGATTAATTATTTGATAAGATTAATACCTTTTCGTATAACACTTACGTACTGTCTCTTTGACTACATGATATCAGTTTTTTTTGTGTGATTTGAAAACACGTAATTACAATTTGGAAAAATACATATCACTCTACCGATCTACGATATAGCTAATATTTTAATTATTACGCTTTCAAAATAGATCATCTGGTGGGATTATTACATGATTGAGGACTTCTGATGACTGAGGAATTTAGTCTTACGTGAACATACATATCTACCCATTTAGCGAAGACCATATTTTACGTCTTTAAAGAAGAAGATTATATTTCACTAAGTATTTTAAAAATAGAGGAAGACAAACGAGTGAAATTAATTCGTTTGACAAACTTGAGAAATAAAATTCTCACACCCTTAGATAATCCACTATTACGTACAATACAAAATATTATTTGTAGTAATAAGGATCAATTAGATGGGTGTAGAAACGATTATCAAAACTATAACTTTTTTTATGTTTAATTTGCACGTCGATATATTTCATTACATATAGCCAAGTAGTTGATATAAAAATTTTGATGTTATCGGAGTGGTTCGTAAACATTGATTAAACATTGGGAAACTTATCGCACATAAAATCTTCGGTTTTATTTTTACAAATCATCGCTTTATCCATCGTTATAAGTATTTTATCATTTGTGGCAAAGAATGTTCTTTTACTTCCAAGAGACGTCAAGATATTTTATATCTCTTATTTTTAATATATCATCTTTTTGCTCGAACGAATGGATTTTCGCTCATAAATATTATAGATATCATAAAGTATGATTTGCATATGCATATGGAAGTATTTGTAAGTGTTTAAAACATTTAAAACATTTAATACTTAAAACGTAAAACATTTTTTCAGTTGTAAGTTACGTCGTAATTTTAAATGAATCGTGTAAAACACTATTTTTAATAAAAGTTTCTTTTTTATTTTTTTTCTTTTTTCAAATTTTTCCATCGAGACAACGATCCGTTATAACGAAAAGTGATAAAGTGCACGCGTACCGAGCGAAAATTCAAAGTCGATTTTCTCGAAAACAAAGCCTCAAACGAAAAATTTTTATTCTATATTTTCGCCTTCTTTTTTCGCGTAGAATCACCCCCTTTCTGCTTATACCACCAGTTACCAACCACCCTGTATATGCATATGAGTTTTATCTTCGAGATAACAATGATACACATATGATTGCTAATTTTTTATTAAATTCAAGGAAAACTTTGACTTATGACAAATACGATTTCAAATATAAAATAAATAAAAGATAATTTCAATTACCTTCTACTACAGTCTTTTTTATTCCAATATCTATATATAAATTTAATCTTTATTTCCGAAATCAATTTTTATCTCATTTTAATCAGTCTTATCGCGTTCTATACTTCACATATACAGTCTTTAAACATTCAATAAAAGAAATAAAGAAAGTTACTTTTGTTTATAAATATTTACTCACTTTGTTTATAACATAACACGTTCCTATATCCTGCGTTACAAAAATATTTTTAAATGTACAACGACCTTAATTTCTTAATATTTTCTTTTAATTTTCACGCTTCAATTTTTTTTATCTGGCCTATCTATGTGTATCTAGATTATGACCATAGGTGTTAGCAAAATGAGATTATTTATGAGCGTATGAGTAACATACATTTTTATCATTCTACTCAACTTAATCATTAAAGCGAATAAATTCAATGTAGATATAAGTACGTACAAGTTAACAAAAATTGGATAGATTTCAATTTCTAGCATTATGTACATATTGGCTGTCTTTTTAATTATCACTTCCATTGTTAGTGGTAAGTTTGTTTCCCTAATTTTAAAAAGTTAATTTTTTATTCGGCGCTTTAAAGCTGCAAAGTATAGAAACAGTTCACCATAGATCCGTTTAATGAAATAACAAAATTTTGTGATTGTGATAAAGCTCTTACTTCATGATTATTAATATTGCGCTTATTTAATAAAAGTTAGTATACTATACTACACAGTGTATTTATTATCTAAGGCTCGGTTCCACGTATAGTGGGCGATAATGAAGCTGAAGACGGTAAATATCCTCTTACTTCATGATTATTAATATTGCACTTATTTAATGAATGTTACTATACTATACTATACAGTGTATTTATTATTTAAGGCTCGGTTCCACGTTTAGTGGGCGGTAATGAAGTTGAAGACGGTAAATATCCTTACCAAGCGTCAATCAGAATTAGAGGTTCACATATATGCGGAGCATCAATTATTAACCCTTATGTCATCCTTACCGCCGCACGCTGTATTTATAAGTAAGAAAAGTATTTATTAGTAGAAAGAAAATTTACATAAACATCTTAAACAAAACATTCTTTGTATTCTTTGTATTAGAATATCATGCAAAATTTTCGTATTGCACAGGAGAGCACATTATAGAGATATAGTAAAAGATCAAAGTTGAGAAATATAAATAAATACGATATACATGATGAAATATACGATATATATTGTCATCTTAAAAATGCAATTGATGTTGCATTAAGGTCTTATTGAAGTTAAGACGATATTACCAGGCAAACTGTCATTATGAATTAAACGAAATTTCAATTTATAATATCAAAGCTACTAAAAATGTATCTATCAATGATATTGATAACGCTATTTCTTACACAATTTAATATTTACCTTAGATACAGTCTATTAAATCTAAGTAGTCCCTTTCATTGTTGAGAAACCACCAAAAATAACTTCGAACCATGAAATTTCAAACATCAGAAAATAAAACAATAAAAGATAGGTTCTTACTTCATAAACTGTACTTTTTTATAAACATATTTGTCATTTTGCCAATAATTTCTTTATTTCTCATTATTGTATATTATATAACTTTATAGGAAAGTACCATCACAAATGACGGTTATTGTTGGAACCAATTATTTATCCCAACCTGGTATTGTTCACACAGTCAACAAATTGATTTGGCACGAATTTTACGACGAATACCTGATCCATAATGATATCGGCTTAATACTCGTAAATGGATACATTAAATATAACGACAAAATTCAGCCGATTCCACTCGCAAGGGTATATTACGTACCTCAAGAAACAAACGCTGTGGTAACCGGTTGGGGAAAATTAAACGTAAGTGGTTTTATAAATTAAAATTATTGAAATCGATAAATATATTTTAAATTACAAATTTGTAGAATATTTTTAAAATTGGTTGCAAGGATTATTTATATGTTGCATTTATTATATAATTAGATAAAAATGTTCGATGGAACTTTTTTTTCAACAAATTTTCATTGCAGAGTGGATCAGGCGGTATGTCTAACGTATTGCAAGCGCTAAATGTAACTATAGTGTCGCAGGAAATGTGCCAAATGTACGATTGGATGGCAACAAAAAATAATATATGCACGAGTGCAAAACGGAATCAAGAAGCTTGTTCAGTGAGTGCATTGAATTTAGTTTTATAGTTCATTTGACTATAACGTTTGATCAAGTTCATTGCTAAAAATGTATCAATAAGATAGAGTTTTGTTTCGTTTCTAATAGTTGTATTTTTGGTAATACCAATTTGTAGTAACTCTAATTTCGCGTAACAATGATAAATTTTAATTTAATATAACTCTGTTATGAAGTCATTGAAATTTATGTCGATATTGCTTGCCTTAGGGTGACCCTGGTAGTCCTTTGGTTTTTAATGGTATACAAGTGGGGATCGTTTCTTATGGTCGACCATGTGACTACCTCAGCGTGTACACCAGAGTGTTTCCTTACGAACAGTGGATAAATAATATTACAAGTAATTACCATGGTATAGGATCTCAAGTAAATTCAAATATGTGGTCTATATTGCTGCTTACATCGCTTACAATCGTCTTCTCTTTACAGTAGTAAAGAGTTTTGTCGTAAGAGTATTAAGTTTTTTATTAACTTTAAATTAGAATAATCAGTAGATACCTATTAAGTTGAAAAATAAAGATGGAAGGAAGATAATTGATATACAAATTGACGATATAAATTATAACTGACGTAAGTTGTATAATACCATTAAAACACATATTTTTTCGACCACCCACAAAGTGAAGGTAACGGAAATTTATTCGCGAATATCAGTAAATTAACAAATAACGTGATAACTATTATTAAAATTATAATCTGATACTAGTGAAATTATTTACCTAATTTACTTTAATAAAATTAACCGAAATTAAGTAGAAGCAAAAAATCATCGGAAACTATATTTTTACAATATCTTAACAGAAGGTCATAGAAGAAGTTGTCTAATTGACCTACTAAGACATCCACTTCGTAGTCTAATTCTACTTCAGTTTCAGCCTTTTTTCAATGGGAGGTTTGAAATTACCGTATTTCGGGAAAAGTCGAGGTACAGTAAATCTTCTTGTTCTCCAATATTGAGAACAATCTCCATACTAATTGCTTGCTGATAAATGAAATAACAGTGGAATAACCAATATCCTTGACAATAAAAAATATTGATCAATAAATTATTGTTATTATATAAACTGTTAATTTCAACATTGTAAAATATTCAAATATTTATAAACACTGCTTTTAGAAAATTTTGCACAGATTTAAATATCTAACTTGTAATTCCTTATACAAATCTAAAATATTTCGATAATTTTATGAAGTGATCCTCAAAATGTTTTATGTTGGGAAAAATATGGACCAGCTAAACTCACAGCATACATATTGTTTGTGCTGAATCGAATTATAACACATCCATTATCCGGAACAACAATAGTATCTTTGCCTGGAGCATCCAAATTTTTCTTTATTGTTTCCTCCTTATCAAGTTGTTTCAGGTAATCTACAATTGTAATTGACGAATTTTCTGACGTTAATGAATAAAGTCCCAGTGATTGACCCATACTCATAACTATGTATAAAAGAAATAACTAATCGGAAACAATGATGTCTACTTACTTCTACAGTAATTACTTCTAAGGGAGTAATTGTAGTAATATCATTACCATTCTGCTACATATGTCGTAAATATAAAATAATTTATAGAACAATCGTTTCCAGTTGTAAAGTCTGGAGAGGCAAGAATAAAAAAATTGTTTAATCAAATCTTATTCGACTCAACGTTTTTAATTTTTGACTCAACCTATCGTTAAACGAATATACTTACTGTAAATTACCGCTTCCCATTAATTAATACAGCATCAAGTAACTGTCCGACAATATCAGTTCCGCGATCTGTAAATCATTCTGTATATAATTCGTGCACCCAATCGTTAATAACAATTACATGACTTAACATGAAATCAATCTCGAAATATTGTCTATTAGGGTCTTGTTTCTTTGGAGTGCGTATGACAAGGCTACCGAAAATTCCGTCCGAAGGGACATAATTTCTATCGTTCTATGAATTCCCATTATTTTGTATATATATTTAAAAGTGTATATGTTTTAAAATCATTTATAAAAATACCTAAATGTAGAACTAGTTACAATTGGACATTGCGTACTGGACAAGTACGTACACCATCGTAATATTGATAGCCATTCTACAATACACCATACCAATGCATCGTCATAGTATCCTCCCCAAGCAAACTTGTATACTTGGTCCTGGCATCATTCTATTCACAGTTAAAACCATACGTGACACGCCATCGGCTAATACACGATCTGACAATCGACGTAAATCAAATAACATTAAGAAAACAAAGATCACAGAGAGATGCTTTACAAAAGAAAGATATGGTATAGTACAAGTATTTAAGTCTTCTAAGAGATAAAAAATATATTTTATTCAAAAATCCTGATAGTAACGCGATTATGCTAAGAAAAGATGTTAAATGATTAAATGAAGAAAATTTGAATTCTTGATAAGCTTCTAATATTTATAAAATTTTTAATTATGATAACGTTCAATTGCAAAATTATAGTAACACGGTTTTGGTATATCCGGTTCATAACAAGGCGGACACACTGAAAAGCATTTGATAGAGAAGGATTCTCAAGAATTACGTCGTTCACATAGTTTGTCACGTTTATTGGAGGTATACCATTTACTCCAGATACATAACCAGTCAATAATCTATACCCTTCACTCTTAACTACACCTAAATTTTAAGACAAATATATTAAAATATATTTTTAGTATCTTCTAATAATTACAAATATATAAATTACATAAGACATTTTATATTTATGTATTGCAATTCACATATTAAAGAATGATGCGTTTAAATTTTCTATCTTCCTTATAGTTTATAAAACGTATAATGTATTATCATATAGTTTATAATAACTAGTGAATAACGAGATATGATAGCTGTAAACCACTATTTTATATATAAGAAAAACATTTTTTAAGCAATTTAATATCACATATAAAAAAAGTTTCGTGCCAAAAAAAGTAAATACAAAGCATAAAAGTATTTTCCAAATGAAATTCATCGTGATAACAAATAAAAATCATACTATCCTATATTCTGATTTTGTTCTTATATATGTAGGTATAACACCATGATTGTTTGTCTACTTTATATCAAGAAAGATCTTTCTCATTGAAAAAATTGAAAATTGTCTTATCAGTAATGTTAAGTGGTCTTTCCACATACAATTTATCTAAAACATGTGCGACTGCAATTATATATATGTCATGTACATATATAGATTCCTTACACAATGAATTTGTTCGCATTAGATAATAAGATAAGGTACCAAATTTTGTAAATCTCAATAATAAAGTGATAAAAAATGTGTCTTTCATAAAGAGAAAAAGCAAAAAGAATGTTACAAATTCTTTATCAAAAATATGAATAAAAATGCTGATCTATGCAACTTATTGTAAATGTGTCACATTAATCAAAAATTATTCTAACATATCTCAACATTATGTGAAAAATGATGTAATTGTTTCATTATTTTATTGTGTTATTGAAAGACCAACATATTATAGATCAATGAATTTGTCTTGTGACAGATTACATGCCTACTTAAATGAAAATATATAATTCTACTTAAAAAAACACCTTGAAATTTCGAAGCCATATACATATAGATAGGAAAGCTTAAGAAACAATTGCGTATAACAAACTTAATGGAACATCTTGTATAGTTTTTTATTATTCTAACGCGTATATTATTTCATGACGTACTATCCCGCGGCTATGCCCGCGTTAGCTTCAGATGACTACAGGTATCGTAAAGATCATTTTATAATATGCAATGATTTGGTAAAACCCATAAAATATAATAAGTCTACTGTGATAAGCTATCCTTGTCAGCTTCATTTTGTTATAGATATTTCCCTTATTTTTTTGCATCTTTTATTTGTCCTGTTACACTGTTACAGTTGCAAATAATTTTTTAACAGGCTTGTACTTAATTGATAAACGAATATTGCAATTCATTTGAATTCTGAAATTGAATTTCGAAAAATACTCAAACGTGTTTGTTTATTTTTAATGAGTTCATATGCCGAATTCCACATCTTTAACTGTAGTGATACGCGAAATGTGGCTATCTCTTGAAAAAAAATTTGTCGCCCTTTGTATCTCTTTAGGGTGGATATTTCCAAAAATCCTTTATTATCTTATGTCTACGTCATAAAAAAAAATTTCATGTTTCTAGGTATAACGGTTTAATAAAATTATTATTAATAAAACTTATTTAATAAAACTAAAACCAATCCATTTATCAACAGAACAGCTGTATATTTACAAACGAATGTATATATTTACATTATGTCATTATAGCGTACTTCTGCACCTCTAGATCCACAGAGATCTATTGAAAAAATTTACCACAAAATTGACGTTGACCTTAAAATTCTAAGTTAAATTCTTTATTGTTGCATCGTATAAAACTGCTCACGAGGAACAGAAGTCTCAAACTGTTGATAAATCACTACTCCACCGTTCTCTTGAAAAATGATGATGAAGTTCCATTAGCTCTTGCATTGATATTATTTACAATGCTTACATTTCACATTCACATAGAATGTAAACAACGAGATATTAATGAAAAAAGGAGAAAATTATTCGTTAGCAAAAGTAGCTCACCATAAATAGAATAAAGCAAAAAAATCTTTCAAGCAAAAGCTCAGTGGCGTCGAGAAAGAGATCTGATATTATTAGTTTGTTTGCAGGTGGACACGTAAAAGATATAAAAAGGTAAACTGCAACTTTTTTAAATAGAATTACAATTCTTTATGTATGATTCGATGTATCTCGTTATTCCATATAGGAAATTATTTAGTTGCTCATAGTAAAAAACAAGTATACAGTTCAAAAATATTGTAACAAACTATGTTTTTGAAACAAAATAACAAACGTAGTAAATAAAACGAGTAAGTTTTCCTGGCATAAACAATTAAATAATTAATATACTAATGTGAAATTGCAATTTAATCTTGAAGGTCAATCTTGCGCCACATTTTTTTTCAGATTTCCACTGATCCAAAGGCAAAATCACGATATAGTGGTCACGTTCTAATTTAATTATTTCCTTATTTGCATTTTTTATTACCCTTTTTTCTATTTGTGATAAAATTTAGTTTAAGGAAATGATTTTGTAAGACCGATAAATTATAAAATGAAGTTAATATAGTCGTTTCGAAAGGGCAAACAGAATAACACCGACAATTTGTTCAATAATCATTTATTGAACAGTAGAATTTGCAATCATTTGCGACTTTTCTTGTATTATTTGTTCTGCATGATATACTTTCCAACAAATAAGATAGTCTCTAGTAACTTTAAATAAAGTATAATAGTTGATCACAAGAAGCAATGTTATTGATAACACTTGATACCAATCAGTTGTGCGTAGTAAAATAAGTAATTGTGCACAAACAAGAAGAAGTTGCAAGCCCAATATTGAACAAAGTAACATTGTAGGATTACTAAATAAAGCCTGTGCAAAATAATCATAATTTATTATTATTAGTTATTTTTGCAGTATACTCATATGTATGATGAAAATAAAATTTATAACAAAATAAGTTAATATTGATCACGTACATAAAATCTGTAATGATTTGAATTTCCTGGTTCTGCTACAGTACAGAAGCCTTCGGAACGATAGATTTCTTTATTATGTCTCACAACTGAACCATGAGGCCACAAAATAGAATCATTCCACACTTGGGCATAAGTATGACTATTGCGATTTTCAATTTTAACCCATCGACCTAGGTGTAATGCCGCTCTATGTAAAACATCACAGTACCTAAATAATTATTGTATTCATCAAATTTCTGCAAATGAATTTTTTAATACAACATTCACATTATACAATCTTAGAACAATACAGCACGTACTACTAAAGAATTTATAAGATTGACACAACATAAATTGTTACACAATATAATTATATAAATACATACCTGACAGGATAAGCATGTGAAAAGTGAGCACTTATTCTTTCCAGCCAAAACATAATAACATGTTGCACAACCCATGAAATATTAAAATGTAGATGTTGAGGTACAAATATAATGGGTGCAATACCACATACATAAGCACTACTAGAAGATGCAAACAAAGCTCGTTTCAAACGCCGATTGAAATCGGACCTTAATGTTGAAACTTCTGCTCTAATTGCTGATGCATTTAATGAACAATTATGTAAAGGTTTGTCTACACAAAAAAGAAGATTAAATTTATAAATTTAACACTTTGTTAATATAATAATAATCATCATTATTAGTATAAATATAAGTTTTATACCCATCAGAAACTTTGTTTTCTTTTCATCTTTACCATATAAAGGTGTTGATATATCAAAGAAAGGTGCTGCACTTATACCAAACATTACAAAATATACAGATAAACTTCTGAAACAAAGTACATACAATAAACACTTGATATACATATGATGTATGATAAATGATATACATATATAACATATCAATATATCACACGAGGATCAATAACTACAATTTAATAAAGTAATACAGACGGATAACATAAGTAAAAAATCTTCATTGAGTTATGTCGTTCAGCCATATGGTAAAGACACCAGCATAATATATTCATCACAATGATTAGTAAAGTTATCCTGAAACATAATATTTAAATTATCCTAAATATAAATTTTACATTATATATAAGTATAATTTATAGCAAAATATACCTCATCATTTTTTGAGCAGTAGGTAACCAACGAACTGGTGATGAAACATCAATAACTCGATGCAATAAAGAATAAATAAATTGCCTTGCAACCATAATTATAATAAATACAAGCAAATAAGGATCTATTAAGTAGAAATTCTGAAAAATTGAAGTCACATGTTTTTATAAAAAAAGATAAATTATAATACAGAATAGATGACTTAAAATAATGATAAAATATTCTAATGCACATACCATACTATAATTATTATAAGAATGAGGTAACCACCAAACAGTTCTATACAAATTAAGCATTTGTAAAGAAGCTGCAATAATTGACACAACTAAAGACAACGCTTCAAAAGTTAAATGACCATCCACAGGTACAACTGGTATAGGTACATGTTTTGGTACTAATGCTTTCATTCCACAAAGTTCTGACTTTTTATCATCTGCACCATTTCCAGCTGTTCTTTCTCCACTATTACTTCGTATACCAATATTTGAAGATACAGAGAAGTTAGCTTGGGATTTACTCTGTCCATTTCTACTAGCAGCATTACGTCTTCCACCAGGCATAGTGTTTGATTTTACATTCTAGTTCATTTTTTAAAGTTATTTTAATTTATTATGGTTCTTACATATTTTTAGCTTAATAAATCACTTTTGAAATAAATTTTAAGGTAACATAATTAAATTTAATGGCGTCAGGGAACTGTCATTTTCATTTATATCTTTGTTCAAACTACAAGACGTATAGCATTAAAATATATATATAAATGCGAATATTTTATCTATTAAGTTGTTTATATGTTTTTGAATACTTTTATTTAGCAAAATTTAACAATATACTAGTTTTAATGATAAAAGAGATACATCAAAATTAATTTAATCAGCGACCTCTCATATACTCGAAATTAGTTACAAAATGTTTATTTTTTTGTTTTGCATACAACATACATATACACTAGAACACAAGCCACAAGATTCACAAGCACAAACTTAGATTTCTTGGACCCCACAAAATAGGATTTCTGAAGTGCAAAATGATATGGTAATACGTAGCGTACTCTATACGCAAAGTAAATGATTTATAAAGTACATAATATAAAATATATAATTATAAATATCAGAAAGGGAATTATTAACATCTTAGCATTTATATAAATAAAATTATTAAAATTGGATAGTTGAATAAAAGAATTTTTGTATTATTCAATACTGAACATGTGTATTGAAAGATTTAATTTTTTCATACTTCTAGTTGCATGTCTAACCATGTATGTCTAGTTAACTTATTCTACTTTTAAGGTACATGATATTAAATTACATATATGAATAATATAATTCCAATACGTCCTATTAATGAGATCAAACTAATATACTTCCTGAAATTTTTGTATTACTTTTCTTGCTCTTTCCTTGCTTTTTTCCTGTTGTAACAGACACACACATAAATTGTATACATACATTTATCGGCATATTTGATTTTTATTCACATACATTGTATTATATTTTGTTGATTTCATGTGTAAATTAAAGATTTTGTAAATAATTTCATGTATACAATTATACAAATGAATAATGATTTTTAATCAATAATATGAGAATTGTCAAGAATAATAAATAATATTTTGAATTTAAATCAAAAATCATTTCCATCAAGTGATGAATCAAAACAAAACGGTATTAAAATGTCAATAGTCGTTCTAAATGTATAAATGTGATTCTAACTTAAATTAAATCTTTTTGAAATTAAAAAATATATAAAATACTTAGTTTATATTAAATTGGAAACCTTTACAAAACAACATAGTTCTCCTAGATGGCACTGTTTCACGATATAAAAATTTATATATTTTATGGAACAAATTGAATTCTCTAATATATTTAATAAGAGAACACCATAATTACTTAATGTAGTAGATGATATTCTAAGAAATGTGTATAAACAGAGAGGAGTGTAATATAAATAATTGCTTCTTTACACATATGTACATGTAATAAATAGCTGTGGTGAAGTGACAATGTATGTCTGTCATGTTGTTTCTTTCAAAAATTCAGCTTTTTATCAAACTATGAAGAATTGCGAATTATAGCGCAGTGGCTATTAATTCTAGAATATATTTTCTGAAATGTATGTGTATTTTACGTGAATTTTAAATTCACTAAAACCATTATTTGTCTTTATTCCACAAAGTTTATAACTTTAGTTTTGTAAATTAAAGATCATTCTCCTTTTGAAAATTACAGCATTCGTTATTTTATTTTAATAGACTAATTAATCAATTTAATCAAGCTTTTAGTATTTAATCTCAGTAAATAATGCAAGAATATTGTTAATTATAACTATCTTCTAATATATACATATGTGTAGATGTTTAATCCTGTTCAAATAAAACATGAATGTATGGGAATAGAAGATGTTAACTTTGGTGATAAAGTTAATACCTCAAATAATTCCAAATATCCAACATTTATTGAAGAAGATGTTGATTATAAATATAATGAGATATCACATTTTTGGAGTCACGCACAGTTATCAAATGAAATACATCCAAAAAATGAAATTCATGGTCAATATAATTTATTCCAATCTGAAGTAAGTTTTATAATTTCAATAAATGTTTTTATTGATTTATTTTCTAAATCATAAAACCTATATAACATTTCAATAAGAAACTGACTAATATTAAATATTTTAGGAAAATACTTCCTTAGCATATATGAAAAATTATGTACAAAATAATACAAATTTTCAAATTAATCAAGAAGGAAATTTGAATCAAATGAATCAGCAATGTCATATAAACATGAATCAAAAAACTGTGAACAGTGAACAGTCACAATGTCCTCAAAGTATACAAGCAGCAAAGTTTACAAGTCAAATAGTATCAATTTCAGAGCCTATATCTTCCATAAAATCTAATCGTCCTGGAAGACCACCCAAAGGTTCTTCAGACACAAACATAGGAAAAAAACTTAAATGTCAATGTGAAATATGCTTCAAAGAGTTTGGACATAAAAGTAATTTATTTATACATATGAGAACACATAATGGAGAACGTCCTTATAAATGTAATCAGTGTGAAAAGTGTTTTACCCACAGTGGAAACTTAGCTATCCATATGAGGACACACTCTGGTGAAAGACCTTATGGTTGCCAAATATGTGGAAAAATGTTTAGTCATAGTGGAAACTTATCGACTCATTTAAGAACTCATTCAGGTATAAAGCCATATAAATGTGCTGTATGTGGTAAAGAATTTAGGCATAGTGGCAATTTATCAATACATGAAAGAATCCATTCCGGAATTAAACCATTTCAATGTAAGGTTTGTGGGAAAGACTTTTATCATAGTGGAAATTTAACGACTCATATGAAAAAACATATTGTAAATATTAACACTAGCATTAATCAATGTGAAAATAATGAAAAGCAAGCATTATGTACTGCAAATCTTAATACCACTACATCTATAAATTCGTTCAATAATTTATCAATGATTCAAAATACTAATGTCAAACTGACGCCTATTGAAAATAATATTGTTCCTATAAAAAATGAAAGTAATGATGAGGAGTCAACAAATGCAGTTGGGGTATTAACACCAACATCAACTTAAGTATGCTAAATAAATACTTTAATGATAGTTTAACTTATGAATATATTTTGTAATTATAATTGCTGTAAAAATGTATTATCAGAGTTTAAATTTCTTAATGATCAACAATTGCATCAATAATTATGGATATATAAATATATATTTTTTTGGAATTATAAGTTTTATATTGTAAAAAGTGAAATCTCTCTACATGGCATCTTTGATATATAAAATACAATTGAAAATTGTAAACGTGCAATTACACATAATATATTAAGTATTTATAACTGTATTATTATATAATATGGTAAAGTTATCAAAAAATCACAATTTTTTAATTAAACTTTTTGTTTATTTTATCACTTACAGCAACATTTCAGTTAAGTATTTTAAAATCTCTTTTTATTCTACTCCAAATAGTGTAATATTAAAAAATATATTGATATATACTTTCTGTATGAATTTGATCTATACTACTGTTATGTATAGAATAAGCCAAAAGTATACTTGAACTGAAAATTTTTTTATAAAAATGTTAATGTACTTTTTGTGATATTAAAAGATTTTAAATTTCATGTAATATATATGTCTTAAATTTGTATACTCATACTCCTGACATATCATTTTAAAGAAGATATTGTATAAATTTGTATAAAACACAGTCTTCATGATTTATTTATGTATAGTAAAATATGTAGAAATTGCTTTAAACATATTAAATTATAATTAATATATTTTATTTCAGTTGCACATTGTTAATAAATACTATATAAGCTAAAAAAATTACTTAATTTATATAAATTATAAATACTTCGAAAACTTTAAAAAATGTTATGTAAACAACATTAAAAATTATCTTGGACTTTCTATCAAACATTACATAAACATGTATCATAATACATATATGTATAATGTATTATATGTATATACGATATTTTAACCTGTGTGTTTTATGCAGATTTTGCACATTTAAGTGACTATTATTTTACAATGTCAAATATGTTTATGCATAAATTCTAGTGTATTATGTCTGTATTTGTGTTTAATAATTTTTTCAAACTTTGTTATATTTGTACATTTTACGTACTTGTATTTGGAACGTAAAATAACTGTTCTTTATAATATTCTATGACATATAAAAATAAATGTCTACTATCAGGATATCAGCTTCCTACATTTATCTATATTATGAATATTTTTATAAAAATTTCTACATGGGTTTTAAGATTGAAGCAAAAAGATCTCTTCTTTCTCAAAATTTTTGGTACCAACTGGAAATGCTAGCAGTTTTTCTCTGATAAAATACATTCACGTCATTTATTTATAATTAGTATTAATGATATTATGTTATAGACTTGTATGTGAGTTACATATACTACATACTACATATTCATTCTTGTTAAAAAAATCATTGGTACAGACTAGGAAAAATGTAAATATATAACATAAATATTTTTTAATATAATTAGAAATTATTAGATATTAATATCAGATAAGTATACCTCGTTTGTATATCCGTATATATAGAATTATGTGCGAATGTACGTGCGCACTAATTATTTTGTTCTCAATTATATTTCTCAACTAAGAAATTTTATAATTCTGTTCTGACAATGTAAAAATGTAAAATTGCAAGTTACTGAATGCATAATTATAGTCAAAATATTAAGAGCGTGCCAGTCCAAAAATTTTTTACCTCATTTTCTAGAAAAAGAAAAATTAATAAAATTTCTCATACATAAAATTTGAAATGCAATTATACTATGCACACCTAATGTTCACTTGTACACTAAGTATGAATATCTGATCATCGTATAACATTTAAAGGCACTGTCATGTTTCGTGGTAAGCGATAAGTAATACTTGTAGCGAGATTTTCAGGTAGCTCATGCCAAATGAATTTTCCTGTAGCAGGTACATCTTCCACAGGTAACTTGAATGATACTAATAATGTTAAACAAAGTCCATCTCCTCCTTGCCCTCCACTGAATTCTAAGGAAAGTATTCCATGTGGTTTATGCTGTGCAACTCCATTTCCAAATAATTCCTAAACAATTTATGATAGATTATAATACAAAATTATCTATATCAAAAGGTAGATATTAAGAAATATTTACCTTCATAAAGTTATGTAAAGTAGAAAGAAGGTTGCGATGTGGATTAATTTCACAAATTGGTAAATGGAATGGCATGGTATCTGATACAAGTACATGCAATTTATTCCTGTTGATAAAATATAATACATAATTGTATATCAATTTAAAACTATAAAAGGAGTAAAATGTTGGCATTTTATGAAGATTTTTGTACTTTAAGTCTATATAATCGAATATGCATTATTTACATCTTAAACAAAATAATTGTTTATGCAGTTTGTTAGATAAAATAAAAAAAAATATATATATATATATAGTTAGTAATTTTATAATACAATTGATACTATTATTGTGCACATGTTATGCATCATAAAATAATCATTTCCAAATATTGTTAATCATAATTTACTTATGAACATCTACATTGTTAATAGTACGAGTTTGGACTAAAATGAAAAAGGCAAGCATTTTATTGCTATAGATGTATATGTACAAGTGCATGTGCATGTAAGTGTACCTACTATATTCCAACCTAAGCCTTCATCCATATTCACAGTCATAATCAGATTGTTGTTGTTCTTTTATGAAAACTATCACCAGTGACCTTATACTGCAAGCGTAAATACTAAAGAGGAATCAAGCATAAGCACTGATATATTTATACAAATAAAGTTGAAACTTCAATGTAAAATAAATTTAAATTAAGCATATTTCAAATGTATGTAACTTACGTTGATCTTTTTTTCGAAGTGATTGATAGCCGCAACAATAATTTGGACAATGGTGTACTAATTGGCATTAAATATGGATGTTGTGGAATATTCTTATTCGTGACATAAGTTTTACCTCTTTCTATCAAAGATATAATATCATGTGATCTGAGTGACAGATCATTTACATTATTCACCCAGCATGCTTGTAACGATTCTTCATTTGCTTCTTCTAATGTTTTTAATTTACCACCAGTTATTTTGCCAGTAAATACAAATCGGAACCATGAACCAGTTGCACATTCTACTAATATCAATGTTTCTGGATCTAATGTAAGCCCTGTTTCTTCTAAGACTTCTCTTTTAACAGCATCTAATAAATTTTCATTAGGTTCAACACGACCAGCAGGTAAATACCATTTTCCACTGCAAGTAGCTTTTGCTTCTTGCATCATTAATACTTCCCCTTGATTATTTATCACTACAGCAGCAACAATGTATGTTACAGTTTTTTGACAAATTGGTATATAAGTACTAGGTGTTCCTTTTCCTCCTATGACACGTTTCTTTTGTATAAGTTGTTAATAACTAATAATAATTGCATAAGAAATGAAAGATAAAATAAAACTAAGAGAACAAATGTATGAAATCAACAATATCAAAAATTAAAAGAACTAAATGTTATAATTTCTAACATATTTTTTTGATTCATTTATAAGCTTCATAATAGTATATAATAAATGTTAACTAATTGCATATATATATCAATGAAGTATCATTTCTTAAACATTAACATTTAATTACACATAAAGTTCACTTTACCTATTTCATCTTGTACCGCATGGGTACTATCATGCGTGTCACCAATTTCTAATGGATGACCAGCTAATAATAATTCAATTTGTTTTTCAATAGATAACGACATGTCAGTATAACAGCAATTGCTTTAAAATATACACAAAACAAATATTCAAATTATATCTTAGATATCATATATCATTACTACTAATTTAACGATAGATAAGGTTATAAACAAAGTGAAAGTGATAATGATCATACAATTCATACATAATTGAATTAGGCGTGTGCATCCTGCTGTAGTTGTAAGTTGTATCTAAGTCATCACTATTCAGTTCAATCTGGTTGGATTATCATCGTTCCTATATCGAATTCCCTATGTAATACTTAAAAGTTTTTTTAGAATATAATAACACAGTATGTAATAAGATATGAACGAAAATGAGATAAAAATTATTTTTAATTTATAAAGTATGATTTGAAAAATTTGTAAACTTATGTTAAAATATTAAATTTCATGAACATTTATTGAATTTAATTTATAAAATATAACTGTTTTTATCAAAACATTATATTATGTTGCATTATAGATCAATCATAACATAATTTACATGTAATATAAATTCATTAGTGATATAAATATAATTACAAAAATAATTATTATCATCTAGGGAATGCAACTGTTAAAAAGTCATAGTTTACTATATCTTTACAACTTGGAAAATCAAATAGTTCTGTACAAGTTGTACGACATGCGGTTCTATATAGTAAAGGAAGCTTGATACATGATGTAAGATGTAACATGAAAAGTGTTTACATAAAAAATCAAAATAAAGTATTGAAAAATGGAAGTTTTAAATGTATTAATTGCAATAGGTCTCATTCATTGCTCATTATTCTTTTTTGACACAATTTTTAAGGTACAGTTTACGAATGTTATACAGATAAATATTATAAGTATTTTTATATATAATTTTAGAATTATAATTTAAAAAATTTTATTTTGTAAAGATAAAATATTAATGATAATTTTTCTTGATAATTTATAAGTAATAATAATTACGAATATCATTTATTTTACAGACATGTTCACATTATCCATACCTATATTTTTTAAAAAATACTGGTTTAGAAGTTCAAATATTGCGAATAAAATGGTTCACCACAGCATTTAATCGTAAAATAATTAAATGGGGTATGGATCGCTCTAAATTTTGGACTGCTTGGTTTAATGCAGGAGTGATTATTAGTGTCATTATTTTGCCAATTGCTATAATTATAATCTTAAGAATGACATTCAATATATGGTCTAATGGACCATCTCTTGATAATACTAATTCTGAACCTTTATTAGAACCCATGGTAATTTTAACTTAGAATAATATTTAATTTACTATTGTGAGATAATTCTTTAATAAATGTAATTTCGTTGATAAAATCATATGTGATACATTTTTATTTTTTACAGTTACCTGGCATAGATATGCCCTTCAATGAGATTGGATATTATATCATTACATTAGCAGTTTGCAGTATTATGCATGAGTTAGGACATGCATTGGCTGCAGCAAGAGAAGATGTTCAGTTATTTGGTTTGGGAATATTAATTGCTTTCACAATACCCATAGCTTATGTACATATAAGCAGTGAACAACTTAGTTCATTACCATTAAAAAATCAACTAAGAGTCACTTGTGCAGGAATCTGGCATAACATAGTACTTGCTACAGTAGCTGCAACTATTCTTTTGCTTTCTACATGGTTCTGGGCACCATTTTATGCAATAGGGAGTGGAATTTATGTAAAGACTATTTTACCTGTAAGTCTTCTGATAATGTATTCTTATATATTAGTACATTGGTTTTCAAATGATTTTTATGTTTTACTTAAATTATATGAAAACAAAATTGATTAGAGTAGAGATAGATAGCAAATGATCAATTTTGAATTAGGAATGGTAAGTTTTTTTTATGAAAATTTACGTTTATAGAATTCACCTGTACTAGGTCCAACTGGACTTCTTGAACAGGATTTAATATATGAAATAAATGACTGTCCTGTAAAATATACTGAAGATTGGTACGATTGTATATTAAACACAGTTAATCAACCAGCTCTTGGATACTGTGTTAAACAATCATTTATTCAGGTAACATTTTTTCTGTATAATTTTCTTACATTAGTTAATATGATTCTTTTTTTTAAACAAGTAATGGTAGTATCTTTGTGCATAATATAAATTTTCATAACCTAATTAGCAAATTAATTTAGGAATATGATGAGTCCGTTCCATCAAAACAAAAAACTAATGGTGCTATAAACTGTTGTACATCAGATAGTGAAATTACAGGAAGTTTATGCTTTGAGTACATTGAGGGACCACAAGCAGCTCCTTTACATTTACCTCCTCATTCTTGCCTTCCAGCCAGAACTATGATTAATCAATCTCAAAATTTTTGTCATGCTAGTCATGAATGTGTATTTCATGATACTCATTGTTTAAGACCTTCCCTTGATAATGTTACCAAGGTATATATTTAAAAACAAACATTTAGATATTAATCACGTAACAATTAATAACATTTAAAGTATTTAACAAACTGGTTTTCCTTTCTATCACAGGTTGTTCAAATAAAAAGGAGACAGGGAAAGGATGTATTATTTTTTGGACACCCAGCAGATATCTATCGAACTGTTGATGTATCTGATTGGATACCTAAATATTCATTCTTAAATCCTAAATTACCAGAAGCTTTGACACTTCTTTGCAAATATATTACAATATTTTCTGCGGGATTAGCAATTATTAATATTGTGCCTTGTTTCTTTCTGGATGGACAATATATTATAAATATACTTATACTTTATTTATTAAATTTTACGCCCCACAATAAAAATGTTAGACAAACCATTATATTAACGATAACAAGTATAGGTACATTATTTCTTACTATAAATTTATTGTATCTACTTATGAATAAATTATTATAAGTAGTAAAAGAATGTTGTTAATATTTGAAATTTCTATTTAGAATACAAAGTACATTATTATGAATTACATTTCTATATAAGTTTAATGGCACTTTGTATCGCTTATTTAAATATCTTAATAAATCTTGCAGTCTCGTTCGAAAAATTATTTACATCTTTGGAACAACAGATTGGACCACATAGGAAGATTATATTATATATTTCTATATTTTTTGGAAATAAATTATTAGTAAATATAATATGTAAAATCTAAGTAGATTAGATAGTTATATTGAAGTATAATATAAAAATAAAGCTATTGCTATGTTCTGATATGACAAAAAAGGCAGCTACAATTTATTATTCCTACTTTCAATGTGGTGTTATGATTTTAGTTGTTGTGTAACAAAATTTAACTGTCATTCAAAAATAAATGGAAATTCTATACCTATATTAAATATATATGTATAATTTGTTTTGTTTACTATCTATTATTTGAATTATTATAAAATTATAATATATTATATAATGAAATTTCTTTATAACTAGTATAATATAATAATAATGATATATTTAGTTGTATAAGAAAGAGATATTATCGTTTTGCTGCTGCATCTCCATCCAATGCTGTAATAGTACAAAAATTATAATTTTTGTAGTAATATAAGGATTACTAACATTATTTTTGTTTTCAATATTTTTTTTAGAATATAGAAATATTACAAATAGTTAATTAAACAGTTAAAAAAGTAAATAAAGGATTACATACTTTTTCCATCGCATGCAACAATTTTAACTTTATCTACTATTGCAATTTCTTGAACCTCACGAAATTCAACATCATTAAGCATAAAAGTCCATACATTGTCACAAAATCTGTAAGTGTTTAATTTACCAGCCTAAAAATTTTAAAGAAATGATAGTTATAATCAATGTTATTTAAAGTAATTAATATCAAATATCAACATTAGTTACCTTAAATATGAGTCGTGACTTAACTCTGGCTGCAAGTGCTTGATTTATTGCCTTATCAAATTGTAATAGTACTTTAATTGCTAACTGAGGTGTGATTTGCCCATACTATAACATATTATGTTATTACATAAAATGAATATCATAGATTATACATTTTTCATTTGAGGTGTATCATATTAATGTTTATTTTCTATAGTTTGCATGATGACAGAAGTGAAATTGGTTTATCGACAACATTAACCGCAATATTACATATTTTTGTGAACGTACCTGAATGAGCTCATCGAGGCTTTCTTGTAACGTATTACCTAATGTTGTGTTTCGATATAATTGATAAGACATTGTCCTTAATGTATAATATGCACAATATTAAAGCAAATAGAGGTCTTTTAATGCAAAAGTAATCTTTATGCGTAATGAAAATAGGAAACAGTATTTGTTGATTAACTGTGTTGTTAGTATAGAGACATAAAGATAGAGTGCGTGACCGAGCTGAACAAGCGATATAGGAATAGAAAGAGAACGCTACATAGAGACTTTTTATGTCCTTGTCTAATAACGCATGCACATTCGTATAATAAATGTGTAATTATAACATTAATCAACGACCGGCGTTAATGCCATGCCCGATTAGACAAAAGACATCTCTATGCACCGTTCTCTTTTTATTCCGATATCTCATCCACTTATATGGTTATATATATATATATATATATATATATATATGATTCGCGTACTCTATCTTTGTATCTCTGATTGTTAGATAAAATCCTGCCGTGCAGTACTTATTTGTATAAATGAAACCGTATAGTAGAAAATGATATTGCCAAGAGCGGCAGATTCAAATTCAAGATTGTATACTATATTTTTTCACGCTACATATATATCTGATATTTATCAAACCTATATTGAAAATTTATTTATTTAAAAAAGTGTGTGATTTTTTTATTTATTATTCTAATAAAATTTTAAAATATTGAGAAGAAATGCACAATATCATTAATTATCATTTGTATCCGATCATTTGAAAGTAGAAATTATTCATTTTCTCAAAAAATTTATTGTGAATTTTAATTGCTGTTATATATAATACTACAATTTTGAAAAGTATTTTGATAAATTTTTAACACTGATTTTTAATAGTAATCTGATTAAGTGGTTCCGTATACAACTATGTGAACTATTCTAAAAATGAAGGCAAGCGTGCATGCATACATATGAAATCACTGCGCGGTAAATGAAAGTTCTACACATAATACAGGACTATATTAAATAAACATAATCTTATATCAATAACTAATACAAATTAACAAATGTATTTTATTTTTGTTCAACTTTAAAATGTTTCCTGATACATACTTGCGAAGTATTTATTTATTTACGGTAAAGGTTATACATGTAAC